TTTTCCGCTTATTTATTTTCTGGTATTAACTGTGTTCCCATTTTATCATGGAAATTTTCCCTTTTGAGTTACTATAATTTAAAACAGTTACAGATGGCCACAGTGTGAGTTTTACATATTCATTCACTCAGCCATACGACAATGGCATATGTGTCATTCATGCCGTTGGAATTCTGATTACTTTATGTAATAATAGAATGCTATGTGCCCTTCAGGTTGCTGACTCAGACTTGCACCATAATTTCTTTCCAGAGTTGGTGTCATTTGGTGCACTGTAGATTCTTGCAGGTGACTGTAGTTGTACTTTACTTTAGAATTACAATGTGACACGTCAACCGTTCATTCTCATATTAATACCAAAGCTGCCAAAATTTGCAGATGCATGTCTGGTCTCCATTTAGTAGATGTGGGGAAACTTTGCTCACTCACCCATATTAATTTTTACAACCCCTTCATACCTTCAACCCCTTGGCTACGTCTACACTGGCATGATTTTCCGAAACTGCTTTTAACAGAAAAGTTTTCTGTTAAAAGCATTTTCGGAAAAGCACGTCTAGATTGGCAGGATGCTTTTCCACAAAAGCACTTTTTGCGGAAAAGCGTCCGTGGCCAATCTAGACGCGGTTTTCCACAAAAAAGCCCCGATCGCCATTTTCGCGATCGGGGCTTTTATGCGGAAAACAGTACTGTGCTGTCTACACTGGCCCTTTTGCACAAAAGTTTTTCGGAAAAAGACTTTTGCCCGAATGGGAGCAGCATAGTATTTCCGCAAAAGCACTGATGATCTTACATGAGATCGTCAGTGCTTTTGCGGAAATTCAAGTGGCCAGTGTAGACAGCTGGCAAGTTTTTCCACAAAAGCAGATGATTTTGCGGAAAAACTTGCCAGTCTAGACACAGCCCTTCAGTCTTCACAGAATTCTTAAATGAGATCCTAAAAGTGTAAATCTCTTCAGAGCTTGCAAGATTTTAGCTGGTGTAAACTAGCATAGTGCCTCTGAAGCTAATGAAACTATGCTGACTCTTTTACAGATATGAGAATTTTGTGATCCATTCCTTGCATTGAATTAACTCAAGTTTTGTTGAATGACAGCTGTCATTCTGAAATACTTTTAGATTACTTTCTATGGTCAGGGACTCGCTCACACGCAAGTGTGCTTTATCAAATAAATCCATCAGCAAAAATTAAGACCGAAGTTACTTAGTTACTGCAGTTGCAGTACACATAATGCTTGCTCCAAACACAATTCTTCAGCTTTTATCTAACAACTGAGATACAGGTTGAACCTCTGTGGTCCAGAACTCTCTGTTCCAGCAACATTTGTGGTCCAGAGAGCCCCAACCACAGAGGTTGGGAGCTCACCCAAGTAGGCAGCCTGGAGGGCCAGTGTACTGGGGGCAGGAAACCCAACCAGCGGCCGGCAGCCAAAGCAGGACTGGATGGGGATCTCTGCCAACTGAGAGCAGAGCCCCTGGCGGCCAGAAGTGTGGAGCTGCTGCTGGCCAGGGACACAAAGCCCTTGATAGTTGGGGGTGTGGATCTGCTGCTGGCCAGAACCGGGGCACAGGGACACCACCAGCTAGGAGTAGGAAAGCCCCTACAGCTGGGTACATGGAGCCCATGCCGGCTTGGAGCTCAGAGCCGCTGCTGTCCTGGGGCAAGGAGACCCTGTGGCTGGAGTAAGGGAGACACTGCCAGCTGTGGGCAGTGAAACCAGCAGCTGGGGGAAGGGAGTCCCACAAATCAGAACAGGAAAGCAGCCAGGAGTGGAGCCCTGCTAGCGGCTGGGGCAGCACACTGGCCGGGCTGGTGGCCAGGAATGGAGTCCCGGGAGATCCCAAGGCTTGACCTTCCCTGGTCCAGCAAAGCCTTTCTTCAGGACCACTCAGGTCCGACCTTTACCAATATGATCTGCAAGCAAAAAGATACATAATTCTCTTCTTGATATATATACATAAGCCCCATGTTAACATACATGTGCATAAGGGAGACCACATTTTCTAACTGCACACTAAAAATATGTGTACAGGCAGTCCCTGAGTTACGCGGATCCGACTTAAGTCGGATCCGCAGTTATGAACGGGGATTTTCTCGCCCCGGAGGACTGGAGCGGCGGGACGCCTGGTCCCGCCGCCCGCCTTCTCCGGGGCGAGAAAAGCTGCTTCCCGTCTCCCTGGTCTGCTGGCGGAGCCAGCAGACCAGGGAGACGAGAGCAAAGCGGCGGAGCACTGGGGGCTGGACCCACGGCCGCTTCCAGATCAGCTGGAAGCAGCGCGGGTCCTGCCGGGTGCTCCACCGCTCTGTTCAGCATCTCCCTGGTCTGTAGACCAGGGAGACGCTGAGCAGAGCGGCGGAGGACCCGGGCCGGACCCACGGCGCTTTCAGCTGATCTGGAACAGTAATAGCAGACCAGGGAGAAAGAGCAGCCCAGGGAGACGCTGAG